ACAGAAGATACGATTGCCAAGATCGAAGAATATTTCAAGAATAATCCAACGGATTCGATACGAAAAGCAGCGGCAACTTTGAAACTGAACCGAGAGACACTAATATTAATATTGAAGAATTTCCTCAAGTTACACCCTTACAAAATCACGACCCATCGTTTGCTCACAGAAGATTCCAAAAATAAAAGAATTGAGTTTTGTAAAATTATGACACAGAAATTTGAAAATGATGAGATCGACATCAATCACATAATCTATACAGACGAAGCTCACTTTTATTTAAATGGATATGTAAATGAACAAAATTACCGTTTTTGGGGTCACGGAAATCCACGCTCATCTGAGGCAAAGTCTTTACACCCTGTTAAAGTGACTGTTTGGGCAGCTATTTCAATCAAAACAGTACACTCAGAATTCATAGAAGGGACCATTGCAGGCAATAATTATCGAGAAATGCTATAAACTAAAGTTTTCCCTTTGGCCAAAAGAAGAGGATTGGTTAAGAACTATTATTTTATGCAAGATGGTGCTACACCGCATAGAACTATAGACGTATTTGAAGCTATTTATGACGTGTATTGTGATCGCGTCATCGGATTAGGATACCCCAAGTTTGCGCATGGCGGTATGGAATGGCCCCCTTATTCACCCGATTTGAACCCGTGTGACTTCTTCTTATGGGGCTTCCTAAAAGATAATGTTTATGCGGAAAAACCCGAGACCAAAGATGATTTGATCTCGGGTTTTTCCTCAAATTGAACAAGTTTTTCATAGTTTCCGAAAACGGCTTGATTATTGTGCAAATTCGATTGGAGATCACTTCGAAAATATTTACCATTAATAGTTATCTCCTGGCTCAATTTGTCATTGTTTTTTCAAATGTCAATAAGTATCTATTAGAAGTGTCTGATTCAACTGAAACTAATTCCAAATAAAAATGACATCTTTACTCAATTCATATGTTTTTTTTTTCCTGGCACTCATTTCAAAGTTATAAACGATTAGTTTAGGCAACTTCCTAATTGTCACCCTGTATAATTGTTACTTAGATAGGGAGTGGGTTAATCCATATCTTATGATCATAATTACATTGCGATATCAAGAGGATGAAAGACTGATTGTGATGAATACACGGAAAAAAAATCTTATTCTAAGATCTCAAAGGTCTTAAAAAAGGATTTTCAAAGTCTTAATTTGAGGCTCTCAAAGTCTCAAGTTGATACTTCCGAAGATCTCAATTTCATAACATATGAACACACATTTCAACATATGAAGGAACACATGAAGCAACACCACTGTTCCATGTCAACTTAATATTTTCAACGTCTCTATCAGTCATTCCAACGTCAGACTTATCCGACGATTTATTGTTTTGATCGTTCAATGACAACGAGCCTTTTACTCTATTCAAATCTTCTGAAATCCTATGAATTCTCTTGAGGTCGCTTGAAATCCTGTGAAGTCCTTTGAAGTCTCTTGAAATCCTTTGGATTTCCTTGAAATTCCTCAAAGTCCTATAAAAACTTCAGAAATTTTTGAAAATTTGAAATCTTGAAATCTAATGCATACTCTTTTATGGAGTGATTACCAACTCGTTTTTGTTAAAGATAATTTATTCTCTCTGTGTATAAATTTCCATTTCCTGCTAAAAACGTCTGCTCCATTCATGTGGATGAGCACAAAAAATTAAAAGTTCGGGTTCTTATCGAATCAACGGTCGAGTGACGACTCCCGAAATTGCCTTCACAACTCTACATCTTTCTGAATAACCACCAGCTATGCGAGTGTGCACCTACGTGAGAATGGGTGGTATCCTGTTCACTCCCCCTCCCAGTTCGGTGAATATAGGGTTCAGATCTCGGGAAGGGTCTGAATTTGCATTTTATTCGTAGTGGTCCACGAATACTCCCAAACCTCTCTTTTCCCAGTGAGGGAGGAGGGAGTGGGTACCTTCATATGAAGGGAGGACATTTATTTTAATTAAATTACTCCGGAGCGTCGAACAACCCATTTCCTATAAATTATCCCCTTACCGCTCTTTTACTCAGCAATGGTCGTCGAGGCATTAATGTACTCGCTGATCCCCATACCAACTTGGTTGGACCCATTGAAATGAAATAAAAGCACTGGTGAGCACAGTGTATGGTTTAGTTACTCGAACGAACGAACGAATAGTGACTCAACGAAAACGTTTTCACCTTTCGGGGTTTCAGCATTCTCGAACCTATTACAATACTCTGGATTTTTTATCTTTTTTGCTCGTAGTGTATTATATCAATTGCTGTACGTTCGACGATTTTCATAATGTCCTTTCGTCAGGTTGCATTCAGGGATCAGCAATAATCATTACTTTAGTAATATTAAAAGAAATTTACCTTAAGGTAAACATTCTCTTGTTTATCTTAAGGATATTCAAGCATTTTTTCCCGTTAGGTACAGACACTATAGATTCAACCATTTTCAATCTTCAAATTTGTCAATTAACTTGGGTGAGAAAAATTTGAAAAAAAAAATCATAAATATTCAGTGTCATTAAAATTACATTTAGCACAAAATTATTATTTTATAAATATTCTTTGTTTGTAAATAGATAAATGAAATTATTTACACTTTGGGCCCCTCATTTTTTTAGGCGTAAAATCGATTTCTAGTAAAATTCCGAACATGAATAAATTTTTTATGATTTCGAACAAATTGTTTTTATGATGGAAAATTGATTTTTTATAAATTATTAATGAAAAATGCTCGCAATTTTCAGAATTGCATTTTTTCAAATATTTCATCAATTTTCCTCCAAAAGTAAACTCTCTATTTTTTTTCAGATTTTAGAAAGGTTTTTTAATGGTTCAATATGAGCAGATCCACGCCAAATCAGCAGGCCAAAAAAGTCGATGCTGGGCATTTTTGGATTGCCTTTTTCTCTGAAAAAAAGGCATTTAGACAAAAATTTTGGAAAAAGAAAAATGGCAAAATATTGATAATTCAGGGAGTTATGATTTTTTTAGAAAGGCTATTTTTTGTCCCAAACAACTTTTTTTTCCAAACCTCAATGTTTCTGCCGGGTTTAGGGCTATAAATCGCCCGGTGGCACAGTCAAAGAACATGACAAAACCTTTCAAAATGAGATGTCATACATAGTATCATGTTCTTATGTATTCTTCATGTACTCGTATAAAAATTCATGATTTATGGACCATGTATGAACCATAAATAATTAATTTTCGAATGAAAAAATGAGAAATTGGGAAAAAAAATTTAAAACGAACTTTGCAAAAAATTATTTTTGCATAGAACGGATCCAAGTCTCAGTCTAATTTTTTAATGTTTCATGAAAATAGTCACTTTGGGTAAGGAAAGACGAAAATCTTCAATCGAGGTGGGGGAAGGGGGTACACGCACAATTTCCTAGTTTTTTGGCGATTTTAGAGCATTTCCGACTATGTGCGCTATTGGCACCATGCTTAATCGAAAGAACGGACAATTTCCGTCGGAAATACATATTGAAAACCCGGAAAATAATTGACCTCTGCTGAGACACAAAATTTTATCAAAAAATCACAAAATTGAAAAATTAACGTTGCGGGCGTAATAAAACTTGAAAAAAATTGGAAAAAATGTTTTGAAGCCTTTTTAATGATAAGAAAGCCATACAAGAAGCCTCAATAAAGTTAAATTTTTACAAGTACAAAACCATACCAATAATTGGCGAAAACACCCAAGTACTATCCCAAATTTGCCATATTTGATCAGTTGACAACAGAAATTATTTTCAAATAGTTTGTATTTGAATCCAACGACTTGAATACTATTTTATGTGCGATGTTCCATTACTCCAAAATTGTAATTAGTCATAGGGGAAGGTGGGGCAATATAAACACCAGATTTAAATAATTAGTTGAATTGGATAAAATCTACTGTTCCAACTTCATTTAACGGTACATATTGTCATAAGACTGCGTCGTAGGAGTTATAAGGTAAAGCAAAAACGGAGTAAAACGGACACTTCGATTTCTTCCTCAATTTCTTATGTTCCAACAGTATTATTCAATTTGTAAAACACTAGTCATGACTGTAATTTTTAAATTGAAAAAGGTCAGCTGAATAGGGCATGCGATTGTTCATTGAAAAAATGAATAATTTCAAAGTCATTTCAATAGTAAAACAAGAAATCCAAGGCTACTCTATATTTTAAACTTTAATGTACAATTTAATAGAGTTGAAGTTTATTTGTTAATATCTCTCCCAACTCTCGTTTCTCTCTACAAAAAAATGCCCACACGATTCTGTTGAATAATAGCTGGTGAAAATTTTTTTGACTTTTTGAATAGGATCAACTTTTTCGAGTGTCCATTTTACTCCACTCTTGAATAATTTTTCGGTTGTGGACTTTGTCAAGAATTAATTTTTAAAAACTCGATTGAAAATTTTTAGAGGATCTATTTTAATTCATCTTATACTGATTTATCAGGTCCACATTGGCCAATGAAACAATTTTCAAAAATTTCCATTTTGAAAAAAAAAATTTTTGCAAATTTTTTGAGTGTCCATTTTACCCCAGATGTCCATATTGCCCCAGCTCCCCTAAATACTATTTTAAATTTGCCATATTTCATCAGTTGACAACAGAAATTATTTTCAAATAGTATGTATTTGAGTCCAACTACTTGAATACTATTTTGTTTGCGATGTTCAATAACTCCGAAATAGCAATTACTCATAAATATTTGAAACAGTATTTCAAATAGTATGCTGTCTAGCTCTGGCCTCCAGTAAACACCAGTATTGATTGAAGAGTTTCCCGCGTACTGACAGACCCATGCGCAACAACAGAATACCCACGTTGCGAGGGTTATGTTCAGGGGTTAACACGCTGACAATTGCTGACAATCACCCCCAAAATCCAAACGGAGTACATCCCACAACGCCAAAAGAATTAATCTAACCTTCAAACCGAGTCACCTATCATCCGTAAATATTTATTATATCGATTATGCACTCACTTGAAATGCAACTGCCTCGCCGGTTTTCCCTCGGGTAGCGGCAACATTGAGCGTAAAAACACAACACCTGTCTGGATTCCAAACGTATAAAATATCGTCTCGAATTTCAAGAATATTCATCGTCTGTTTTTCACTCTTGGGCAATCCATCTTTCAGTTCTTTGAACAATGGATTATCATTCAGTCGTAGGGGATCAGTCACCGAGGACATTGTTTAAAACTCAAACGTAATGTTGTTGTATGAAAAACACACGATACACACGCGAGCACGTTGGGACGATACAATAACGTAGCGCGCGGCCGGTAATCAGCTGTTCGGGCGCTGCTGACAGCGCCGGGGATTGAAAACCGTTCAGTGGTGCATCTCCAGGTGTATCAGTACCGTAGGAATCTACATTGCCGAAGCAAAAGTTGACTGCAAAGAAAATTGAATTATTGAGTAACTTTCAGTTGTTCTTGGGAAATAACTGTTTATTCGTAACAATTGGGGTGAAAAAAATATGGAATCCTTTTTTAAGGATTTCAATTGAGGCCCCGGAGGGATTCGAACCCTCGATCTCCTGTTTACTAGACAGGCGCTTTAACCAACTAAGCCACGGCGCCGCGTTGAACACTATGGAAGTTATATCTGCTTTTGAGATACTGGGGTTATTGAAAAATTAAAAGTAGCCTACTAAGGGGTATTTCATAGTCAATTCCATCATGTGACATTTACAAATGTTATTTTGTTTAATGAACATGATTTAGAGCCATAAATACAAATTTTACAATTTCGTAATTTTGATTATGAAAAGTTGAAGTACGTAGGATACTAGTCCAATTTTTTAATTTTTTCCTTTTAATTGCCATGTTTTACTTTTCGCTTTAATTTTCTGTTAACATTTTGAACGTCTGTTTCTTTTGCCCCGCAGACGTTCGAATTGTGAAAAATAGTCCAGGGACTGTAATTTTTGACCTACAGAGGTTGTTTTTCTGAAAATTTTTGAAATAATGTGTGCAAAAGCAATTTCAAGTTGGCTTTTTGAAATTCAACTTCTACACAGCTAATTTTGTTTTTGGCTTAATAAAAAATTACACCATTCATATAAAATAGCCCGAAAAATGTTTCTGAAAGAATCGAGAATATATTTTTAATATTTTAAGGATAATTTTTCTGCCTATTTTAAATAAATAGCGCAAATTTTTATATTAAACAAAACGAAATTAGGTGTATAGGACTCGAATTTCAAAAAACTAATTCATAATTCTTATTGTACACTTTTTTCAAAACTTTTGAAAAAAAAACATTGTAGCTAAAAAATCGGACGCCCTGGACTATTTTCTACATTTTAAGCGTCTGCAGGGCAAACGAACAATAAACAATCAATTTTGTCGCACTAATTATTCGTTTTTAGACATATCGTGTGTCTAAAAGCAAAAGGTCGTGTATGTAAAAAATGGCTTTCTCCGGCAAAAGGTCGTATCCGCCAGCATATACGACCTTTTGCTTTTAGGAAATCGATCAAAGTGAATCCAAAAAATTGAAATATCTCGAGTTTAGTTATCAATGGAGAAACAACCTTTAACTTTTTATGAAGTTAAAAAAATGTCTCACCTAAAGCGAAAAGGTCGTCTATCCAATTTTATATTTTGTTTGCACTTTGAGAATTGAGAATTCACAACCAAAAAAATTGAGTCGGTGAGTTTTTCAAAAATATCTCCGAAACTAAGGGAAATAGCGAATTTTTACGAAAATTTGGGGAGGAGGGAAGTTTTATTGAATTCTCGATGTACAACCCTCCCCCCCTCAATTTTTTAGTAAAAATTTGCCATTTCCCTTAGTTTTAAAGATGTCTTGAAAAAACTCACCGACTTAAATTTTTTGGTTGTGAATTGTCAATACACAACCCCCACTTCCCCCTCTTTGCAAACTCACCCCTCCGCACATCTGAAATTCCCGATATTTTGGCACTCCTCCCTATGTATTGGACACTTCCGTCCTTTAAATACCTCAGCCGCAATTTTTCAATTCAATCTGAACATTTTCTAAAATTAAGAAAAATTCGACATTAGTTTCAGAAAATATTTGTTCTTAAGAACAATCCCCAAATTCGTTGGTTTTTATGATCCCACCACGGATAAAGCTTAAGAATTTGAGTTTCTAAAATCTAGAAACTAGTTTTTAAAGCTAATCCACTTTTTTTCTCTACGTATCGAGAGCTTAGTAGCAGAGGAACGTAATTATCAAAAACTATCATTTTCAGAAATATAATGACGTATCTCTAAAAAATGAGCTATTTATGTTTGGGATTGGAAAAATCATCGAAATTAGTATATTGTGTTACTAGTGCGTAAAGGTCCACTTTTTCACATGCACGGATAACACATCCTATTCTTTGTAGAACCTGCCAAGTTCACTGTTCGGAATGGTAGTGGGGGTAATGTGGTTGTTCTTGTGCACGAGTGCGTAAAGTTCAAGAACATGCGTAAATTGAATTTTGACTGCGTAAAGTGAAGCTTAAATGAAACTATTAAAAACTATTTTCGATTTTCGACAAAATTGATGTCAGTTGCAGTTGATGAATTGAAGTGAAAATAGAACACAATGTTTAGAGTACGGATACCAACAAAAGTGAGGATTCATTTTTTATAAGAGATCCAATGAAGTTCACTTGTCATGTCCAGAAATTTTGAAATTCGGTAGTGTATCCCCTTAAGAATCCCATGATTCTTAATTAACAAACTGAACGGTACTTTATTTAAAACTTTTCGACTTCGAAATGACGGTTTCTTTGGTACTGAATTTAAGAGATGTTTTTACTGAAATCGAATGACCTGTTTTTCTTCTCAATATCATGCCTTCCACAAGTTTATTAAATTCAATACCTTGGTCCTGGAAACCGAAATTTTTTTTACTCGTGATTGGGATACTGTACGTGCCTTTCCCATTTGACTCACAAGAGTACACGGGATTCTTCCGATCACTGCCCTGTTTGATCCTGAGGAATAAAAAACGCTTCAGTTCCCTAATTTAGATTTTTTTGGAGATACGTTCTTCTGTTACGAATACGTCATACACAAGCGTATCTTGACAGAGGTATATAAGGGGTGATTAGTGGACAAAAAATGTTTGGAAGATACAAACATTTTGAGTTGTTACCATGTTCCGACATATGCGAATCTGGATTAAAAATGGAGATATGCTTTCTGAGGACAGAAATTAAAGGCAAAAGGTCGTAACCTTTTGGTTTTAGGGAATTTTTCATTTCTGGGGATATAAGTTGAAGGCAAAAGGTTGTATATGCACCTCATGATCAATCTGAAAATGTAGATATTATAATAAGTATCTCCAGCATTTTCCCGCAGAATTGCAGAAAAAATGAGTGCACATACGACCTTCTCGCTTTACAAAAATCGGAACGTCGCTTGTTGGCATTTACGACCTTTTGCTTGTAATCACGCGATATATAATCGATCTTGAATGCATGAGAAATCTCACTCCAATAGTCCGCGACTTTTAAAACTCATAGTAGTTTCCCCTTGACTAATATGTAAATTCTTCTCCTTGAATGTCTTGAAAATTGCTCAACCGATTTTATTCAGTCCACAAGAATTCATCAAATACGCAAAATAGAACCATTCGGAAGCCTGCTATCAATTTATTGATGGCAGAAAAGGATGGACACACCCCTAAGTAAAAAATCCTCCGTCACAGCTCGCTGTCATACGGAGAGAAATATTCAATAAAAATTACATATCTTTTCCGTAATTCTGGGACGAAATGTGATTGTAGCAAATTTTACGCAACTGTCACAGAATTTTTCCGGAGCGGTCCCTAATTTTTATCTGAATATCCTGGGAAAAATTACGATACCGTCACTTGAATTTTCTGAGTCGATTCCGTAATCGGTAAGTGAATTATGAGTTCCGTAATTTTTACTGAACATTTCTCTCCTTGCACGTGCTCGTTTTTTAGCATCTTCCCGGTAATGCTTCTCACCATTTGACGATGTTATTTGTATCGATTTACTTAAATGTATATTAGCTGAATTATATTTTTCGTCTATCTTCAGTGGACTTTCATCAATTTCAATTGAGTTCATCGGGTGATAGTGAGATGGTGACGCATAAAACGAGGGAAATGGATTTCGACAGCTCGACAACTGTTTATAGTTTTACTTCTCAAAATAACGGATAATGGGCTTGAAGTATTTAGATAGATTTTATGTGAGAGTAAGGGCATGAATCAACATTGGGTTTGAGAAATTATTATTGGAGACGCGAGGAGAACGACGTTGATTTTGTTTCGGTTTTTCGTATACAAGTATAAATACAGCTGTTCTTGGGATGTCAAGTCTCTTGCACCGTCGCAGTACTAAACTTATGTTTGTATTACTTGATGTTTGGAATGAATTCCAAGTCACAGTAATATAGTAAAGTACGGATCCATTTGGTAATAAATGATTTTATTAAAAGAATTTGGGGCGAAATAAATGATAAAATAATGACGTGCCCGCGGACTAACAACGAAGCTAAAAGAATAATGAGCAAGAAGGAGGCAATTGAACATGAAGGTAGTTGAGAGGAAGGAGAAGAGCAAACACACCACAACCCTCACGGAAAAAAAATATATGTAAATAATTATACGTGACATATATGTGACATATTGCATTTTTCGCCGAAAATATATCTTACATATATGTTAGATATATATCGAAAATATGCGGGTAATATATATCTGCTCGCATATATTCAGCATATATCTGATGTATTGCATTTTCCGCCGAAATATATGTGCGTATAATTGACATATATTTCACATATTTGCCGTTTTCGGTACGAGAATATATAGAATCAAAATTTTCATTGCATTTCTGTCGAATTCTTTCATTGCTAAATAGAAATTCACTTGAACATTACAAAATTTACGCTCTGATCTGTTTAATTTTCTAACACACGGAGAGAAATATTCAATACAAATTACGTATCTTTTCCGTAATTCCGGAGCGAAATTTGGTTGTAGGAAATTTTACGGAACTGTCACGGAATTTTTCCAGAGCGTTCCGTAATTTTTATCTGGATCTCCTGTGAAATATTACGATACGCTCACTTAAATTTTCTGAGTCGATTCCGTAATCGGCGAGCGAATTGTGAGTTCCGTAATTTTTACTGAACATTTCTCTCCGTATTTAACAGGTTCCTATAGTCTGTGGGGAAATTTGTTTACAAATAGTTCCAAGAATTTTGCCTTTGTTATGTAAAAGACATTATTTTTAACTTCTCAATTTATTGGGTTG